AGCTTCTTTTTTTTTTTTGAGTGGGAGTCTCACTCTGTTGCCCAGACTGGAGTGCAGTGGCCGCTCCCGGCCACCGCAGCCTCGACCTGCTGGACTCTGGTGATCCTTCCGCCTCAGCCTTCCGAGTAGCTGGAAATACAGGCGCATGCTACCACGCCCAGCTAATTTTTTATTTATTGTGGAGATGAGGTCTTGCCAAGTTGCCCAGGCGGGTCTCGAACCCGCGGGCTCAGGCAATCCACTTACCTCGGCCTCCCAAGTGCTGGGATTACAGACTGAGCCACCGAGTCCGGCCGACATTTTTCTTTTTTAGCAGTGTGCTAGACCTGGGATGACAGTAGTGTGTGAGACACAAGACTAGGTTTTGTAGTTTTTGTTCTAAGGGAGTTTAGTGGAGGAGTTTATGGTCTGATGGGGAATAGAGAAAAAGTGCTGAGCCCTGTCATATTTAAGCATTTGCAGTGAGACCTTCCTAGAGTCAGGGTTAGAACTTTTTTTTTTAATTGAGAATATAGGGAGAGCTCTGGAGCCTTCATTAAAAAAATACGTATATTCCCATTAGATCTGTTCATGGCACTGAAGTTAAAAGCTCTGCCCTGGGAACTAAGTTGGTACAGGGCAAATTACTGATGCTGCCCCTGGCATCGAAGACCAGGCTGGCTAAAAGGGTTTGGCTCCCACCTCTAGGGCACCCAGAAGGTGTTTGGAGAAATGCTGAGTGCTCAGCATGGCCTGTGAGAAGGCCTGTGAGGATTACCGGCTATACTACTGCTCAGCTGGGTTGTGCTGGCAGTCACTTGCCCCATACAAGGCAGTTTATAGTGGTGTATGCCACCTGAGCCACCACCAGCACAGGGTGTCAACCTATTTTGGCCCACTTCCCCTGTCCCAGAGCACATCTTGGTTTGTTCTGGAAATCATCATTCCCTGTTTTTGGTTGCTTTTGTGTATACAGCTGTGCCTGGTTCTCCTGCTCTCACAGCTGCTGCCTGGCATCCTCAGGATTTTACTCTTCCAGATATGACACTTACCTCCTCTGGGACCTCTTAGCCATCCATTGTAGTTTCTGTGGCTTTTTCTTTGCTGTGGTGACAAACTTAATTCTTAGTGTCTGGGGTCTCCCCAGCCTTATAACAAGAAGGATGAAGACCAACACTTGTTGCAGTGCTTACTGTATACCAGGCACCGTCATGGCACTGAAGTGCTTTATGTATTAGATAATTTAATCTTCACAGAGTACATGATTATATTCCCATTTTATGGTTGGGCAAACTGAGACATGTAGAAGTTAGATATTTTGCCCAGGACTACGTAGCTGGTAAGAAGAAGAGCTAAGATTTAAACCCAGGCAGTCTGGTTCCAAGCCTACACTTTTTTTTTTTTTTGAGTTGTAGTCTCACTCTGTTACCCAGACTGGAGTGCAGTGGCCGCTTGACCTGCTGGGCTCCGGCGATCCTTCCGCCTCAGCCTTCCAAGTAGCCGGAATTACAGGCATGCGCTACCACGCCTGACTGATTTTTTGATTTATTGTAGAGATGAGGTCTCGCTGCCCAGGCGGGTCTCGAACCCGAAGGATCAGGCAATCCACTCACCTCAGCCTCCCAAAGGCGCGGGATTACAGGGTGAGCCACCGAGCCCGGCTGCAAGCCTACACTCTTAACCCCTATCCTTTAGCAGAATTCAGGAGACCTTACAACTAAGCAGTTCAGAGTTCCCTCTACTTTCCCATACCCACAATTCCAAAGCTGAATTTTATACTAGGAATGCCTTTTCTTTGTCAGAGATAATAAGCCCTTACATAACAAGATTCACTTATTCACCACTATTTACTGAATGCTTACCATATACCAACGCTATATTGCAAATTACTTAATATAATCCTCACAACAGTCCTCTGAAGTAACTGCTATTATTGTTTCCATTTTTATTGATGTAGTAACTAAGACTTTAAAAAGTTAGGTAATTTGTCACAGTTGCAGAGTCAGACACAGCCAAGGTTCAAACCCTAGATTTTCCCTGGCATCAGAGCCTGCTCTCTACCTTGACACCATTGACATTTGGGTCAGGGTAATTCTTTATTGTGGTGGGCTGTCCTGTGCATTATATGATGTTTAGCAGCACCCACTAAATGCCAGTAGCAATTCCCCATCCCTGTGTGACAACTAAAAATGTTTCTGTCATCGCCAAGTATGCCCTAGCAGGCAGGGGAGGCCAGGTACCATATCAGAGTGAAGACTGTGTTCATCTTTGTTTTTACAGGGCTCAACCTGCAACCTTCTCCTTGTCTCCTCGCCCCTGATTCTTTAGCTTTTCCTCTACAATCTGTGTCACAGTATCCCCAGTAGACCCTGTGTGTGGCTCAGGGACTGTTTGCCTGTTTTTCGTTATAGGGCTGTGGTGGAGGCTGTGCATCGACTTGACCTCATCCTTTGCAACAAAACTGCTTATCAAGAAGTGTTCAAACCAGAGAACATTAGCCTGAGGAACAAGTAAGCTGGAGACTCGAAGCCCCATTCTCTGCTTTTGGGCTGCCCATCTCTACCAGAAACCCTGTCAGATGTGTGAACACAGGTTCTCTCCTACCTCCTGGCCTCACGGTACCGTCAAGGACGGTGAAGTCTCTGGCCCTGTGAGAGAGGAGATGGGGATCCCTCACCCCATCTACAGCATCCACATCTAATAGGCTCGTGCATAAGAATGGCATTTGAGTTAAGGGAGCTGGCATGCTGCATAATGAAGGAAAAGAAAGAGGAGATAAAAAAGCAGAGAAAGGGGAGTGAAGGGTGCAGGGGAAAAAAGGAAGATTACGAAAACTTTTGCTGCTACTCGCTTCCACCTTTTGGGGCTCCTGCTGCTTTCCCAGAATGCCATTGTGCTGGGTCATACTGACCCTGGATGTGTCTTGGGAAGCACAGAGATTTGTTGGTGGGGGTATTGGCACATGACTTTTTACCCCAAGGGATGGGCAGTCTTCTCATGTTCCCTACCCACCCCTCACCAGGCTGCGTGAGCTTTGCGTCAAGCTTATGTTCCTGCACCCAGTGGACTATGGGAGGAAGGCAGAGGAGCTGCTGTGGAGAAAAGTATACTATGAGGTTATCCAGCTTATCAAGACTAACAAAAAGGTAAGGGAGGTGCTAGAATTTGGGAAGAAATGTATCTGAAGAGGGAAAGCTGAGGAAGAGACAGCTGGGAAAGTGGGAGGTAGGGAAGCTCAGGGAAGGATGGCAGAAAGGAGGGAGAGTCTGACATAATTAGGATTGGAGAAGGCGGGGAGCCGGTCCCAGATGGGTAGATAAGAGAATTGGATCTAGGGGTATGGGGGTAATTTGTGAGAGCAAGGAATTGTCAAGTTCCAGAGCCAAGAAGATAAGTTTATTTCCTCAGTGAGGTGAATGGGGTGGGGGGTTAGGGGATGGGGGATGACTCTGAGATCATTGCTCAGCAAGTCCCTTCCCTTTCCCCATCTGTAGCACATCCACAGCCGGAGCACTTTGGAATGTGCCTATAGGACACACCTAGTCGCTGGTATTGGCTTCTACCAACATCTCCTTCTCTATATCCAGTCCCATTACCAGCTTGAACTGCAGTGCTGCATCGACTGGACCCACGTCACCGACCCCCTCATAGGTCAGTGAAACCTGAAGGACGACTTGAGGAGCAGATTCTCAGGCCTCTACCTCTGGCCTTGTTAACCCTTAGGGTTCATGTAGCTTGTGGCCTAGCCAGGCAGAGAGAGTTCTCCCAAGACCTACAAACGGGTCATGAAGTTTGGATCTGTCCAAATAATCACAGAAGTCAGGGTGAAGTTCTTAAGGAAGGACAGAGGCTGGGATTGTGGACTGAGGCAGAGGGAGGGCCAGAAGGCTCTAGAATAGGTCTGGCACTGGAAGGTGATATTAATGACATTTCTTTTCTTCTCCCAGTTGAATTTGGCCGGCACTGTTTCTTTTGACTTTAGAGGTTGTTTCCCAATGTTTGATGAAAGTATTGAAATCTTTAAAAACGTTGGGAAAATTGTGGACAATCTTTCAAGATAGTGCAAATTCCTTTTCAGCCAACTGAGGTACTGGCAGCTATAGTTTTACAAGCTTTTCTAGTTGGTAGTTTTCTCTTCTATTCAGTCACCCTTTAGTGCTCCTTCCCCCAACTCTCCTTGCTCTCTTGTCTCCTTTCTTCCCCCATATGCATGTCCTCCTTCACTCACCATTCTGGGTCAGAGAGGGAAGTTGTGTCTTTGACATCACATGGTAGCATTCTCTGGTCAGAAGCAGAGCGTCTGTGTTTTATGTAATAAAAAATATTATCTAACTGGGCGCGGTGGCCCGCACCTGTAATCCCAGCACTTTGGAAGACCAAGGTAAGAGGATTGCTTGAACCCAGAAGTTCAAGACCAGCCTGGGCAACATAGTCATCTCTACAATAATAATAATAATATTAATAATAATAATAATAAATTATCTAAAAACAAACAACTGGCCGGATGTGGTAGCTCACGCCTATAATCCCAGCACTTTGGAAGGCCAAGGTGAGAGGATTGCCTGAGCTCACAGGTTCGAGACCAGCATGGGCAACTTGGCGAGACCTCATCTCTACAATAAATCAAAAAATTAGCCAGGTGTGGTGGTGTGTGCCTGTAGTTCCAGCTACTTGGAAGGCTGAGGTGGAAGGATCACCTGAGCCCAGCAGATCTAGGCTGTGGTGTCCATGAGCAGCATGCCACTGCCCTCCAGCCTGGGCAACAGAGTAAAACTCCAAATCAAAAAAATAAAAAATAAATAAAATAAAAACAAAGAACGTTATTTCTGAGACAGTGTCCATAGTTGTTACCAGACGGCCAGAGTGGTCTGCAGCTCAAAAAAAGATTAAGGGGTCAGTTCCCCAAACCATTTTAGTTTTTCTGTTCATTGACGTTTTTCTATTCAGCCAACTAGGAAGCATAGAAACATAGAAAATATCAGGAAGGGCTTTTCTGAACGGGTGCTACATACCCAGGAGAGAGACTGTAAGGTGGAGTGGGTCAGAGAATGGTCCCTAGAGCCTTTTGGATCCTGGCTATGCCACTTAGCAGTGGGTTGACTTTGATTTCCCTGACTCAAATGGGAGTACAAGTAACAAGTAACAAGTCATAGGGTTGCTGTGAGAATTCATGGGTTAATATTGTTGAGCACAGCCAGGCTTGGTGGCTCAGCCTGTAATCCCAGCGCTTTGGGAGGCTGAGGTGAGTGGATTGCCTGAGCCTGCAGGTTCGACTTGGCAAGACCTCATCTCTACAATAAATCAAAAATGAGCCAGGCGTGGTAGCGCGCGCCTGTAGTTCCAGCTATTTGGAAGGCTGAGGCGGAAGGATCGCCGGAGCCCAGCAGGTTGAGGCTGCAGTGGCCGGGAGCAGCCACTACACTCCAGTCTGGGTCACAGAGTGAGACTCCAACTCAAAAAAAATATATTGTCAAGCACTTAGACCAAACCTGGCATGTGGAGACACTGCCTCCTGACAAGCTTAGGCTCTCTGGACTGAAGTCACAAGGCAGCTTGAATGAAAGGGGAGATGAGAGTTCTGACATATTAGACTTTGCCATCCCCAGCTTCAGGCCAGGCAGGCCCACTTTCCTCTTCCATGGGCAGACTCTGCAAAAGGCCATCTTCTCTGTGGACCTCTTCTACCAGGCAGGAGCTGGAATGTCTACCTTGTTCTCATCCACATTCCACTCTTGGGCAAATTCATTTCCCATCTTCACCCAAACCTTCTACCCTTGTGTAGGTAACTTTAACCCAAGATACTCATGATCTTCTTGACACTTAAGCCTCATCTCTCCCTCCTTTTTGGAAGCCTTCCTGTGATGACCTTCCTGCAGGGTGCTGTCCTAGTTTGAGGGCTCTAGTCCTCCTCTTCCAGTTCCTTCCTGTCCTGTGAATGAATTCGACATGTGAGTCTCTGTCCCTACCTGTGTCTACTTGTGAGCCTCTGCGTCTCTCCCTATGTCCTGGATGAGTGTCTTCTCTGCCCCGGAAGACAGTGTTCTAAGGCTGGCCCTGGATTCTCAGTCTCCTTTCTTTATATAGGAGAGGTATTTCCCCATAGGTAGGGGGCAGAGGAATGGGCTCATAAATCTTTCTCTCTTTTTCTCTCAGGATGCAAGAAACCAGTATCTGCCTCAGGAAAGGAGATGGATTGGGCACAGATGGCATGCCACCGATGTCTAGTGTACCTGGGGGATTTGTGTAAGAGTCTGCACCTTTCATTTTCTCTGTTTTGGGTTATAGGGCAGACCCAAGCTGTTTCAGTTGTTGCTACCACCATTTATATGATTGGAGAGCAGGAGGAACAGTTTGGCTTTTGCTCGCTTTTCCCTCTAGTCTGCCTCAGTGATCTGCTTCTGCTGCCCTTTTGTGAGTCAGAGAGGATCATTGAATATGGGAAGAAGAGAATGTCTTTGAGCTTTCAGGAAGTCAGGATGATTCCTGTTTCAATGGTGGGTCAGGAAGATTTTCATTTGCTATCTTTCTCCTTCTTGGAATGTTTCCTCTATCTTTATGGACTCTTAGATGAATAGAAACTTCAGCAGAAAAGGAATTGAAATTAGAGGTCAAAGAGGATTTATCTACCTGGCAAATGTTTTTAAGGATAGATTAGATGTCAAGGAGGACTTGTCTGCCTAGCAAATGTTTCTAAGGATAGAAGTGTACTCTCTTGGCTTATGGCCCCAGGGTCTCCCATCCTGACAGACAATGGTTTCTCACTAGTTTGCTAGAGTGTGCCTGCTGGGTACATTATCTTATATTGACCCGAGGCTCCTTCCCCTAGCCCACTTCTGAATCCCTCATGACCAGTGTGTGCAGAGGCAGCAGTTGCATGTTAGATGGACCAGAGTGTCATTAGTGATGTCTTCTCTCTAGAATCCAGCAGTTGCAGTCTAGAACTGAATATCAGAGAGCTTTGCAAGCAGTTATATATGCTGTGGCTCCCCTTCATTGGCAAGAGATAATCAAGAAGAGCCTGTTCAGGGTAGGCATGGAAGCACACGCATATCATCCCAGCTACTGGGGAGGCTGAGGCAGGAGGATTGTTTCAGTCCAGGAGTTTGAGAGTAGCCTGGGCAACAGGGAGATCCTGTCTCTAAAAAAATTAATGAAAAAGGAAGAAAACAACAGCAAAAAAGAACCTGTTTACTTTACAAATACTAAATATTTTTTACATGAACTTATCAGTAAGGAAGAGAGAGTTGAACAATTTGCCCATAGTTATGCAGATTTAGGACTGTGCCAGAGACCCCTGCAACCTGTTTCCTAGCTCAGGTACCTCCCTTTCAGGCTCTTGTTATAGGTCCTCAGAGTGGACTCCCAGCTGCGGGAGGGTCTTCTGAAGCATGAAATCTTCACATTGCCCTTGCTCTTCTCTTTTCTGCAGCACGATACCAGAATGAATTAGCTGGCGTAGACACCGAGCTGCTAGCCGAAAGATTTTATTACCAAGCTCTGTCAGTAGCTCCTCAGATTGGTAAGTGGTCCCCCACATGGGCCTCCCCACCCGGTAGAGTTTTCCAAGAGGAAGTCGGTGTTGTTGAAATGGCAGGCAGGTCAAGGTCATTTTCCCTAGTTCCTCATCACCCTCAGCTCTCTCTTACTTTACCTTGGTTATACATTCTTCCCCTTGTAACACACTCAGAAGGTGGTGGAAGGGGGAGAGAAATGGGCGAGTCTTGAACTAAGAAGGAGCGGGACAGAACAGAAGGGAGACAATGGCTTCCCTGTCCCTGAGGTCGCTATAGAAAGAAGAGTGGGGTGAGAGAAGGCATAAGATCCCATTGCAGGGAGAGATGGGGATGTGCATGGAGGAAGGAACACTCAGAGGTGAGAAGCTGAGCTGGGATACAGAAGAGGGCTTCATGGAGTGAGTGCTGTCAACCTTGGAAGAGCTAGAGTGGAAGCCACAGGAAGTGGCACCCCACCAGAGCAAGTAACCCTTGGCAGACCAGGCAGGAACAAGCTGATAGGAACTAAGAAGAGGTCAGTGATTCCCTAGAGGAGCAAGATTAAACTGCTGATCACCTGAGACCCCAGGTCACCTGCAGACCCAGCTGTTCTCTGATGCCTAGTGTTGGTTGCACCTATCAGCTTTAAATGAGTAATGTGAGCCGGGCTTGGTGGCTCAGCCTGTAATCCCGTGCCTTTGGGAGGCTGAGGTGAGTGGATTGCCTGAGCCCATGGGTTCGAGACCTGCCTGGGCAACTTGGTGAGACCTCATCT